AGGCTGATTCTTTACCAGCTGAGCTACTTCGGGCTCTAGCTTGGCAAATTCATTTAGCTCCCATGTTCAGAGACAGTCAGGCTAAAATGAGCTGAAGCCATCAGCGTTGGGAAGAACAAAGAAATCTGTACCCAGAGCATAGAAGGTTTCATTTTTGACCCAGTTGTCATACTTAAACATAAAAACATCATCATTTCAGCATGTAATAATAATAATAATCAAAGCACTAACCACATGCCTAATTCTAAGTATTTAATGTATAACAATGCATCATTTAATTCTCTCAAAAAGAGAAAATAACAACTCTATCAGTTGAAAGTTGCTCAGTCGTGTCCGCCTCTTTGTGACCCCATGGACGGTACAGTCCATGGAATTCTCCAGGCCAGAATACTGAAGTGGGTACCCTTTCCCTTCTCCAGGGGATCTTCCCAGCCCAGGGATCAAAGCCAGGTCTCCCGCATTGCAGGCGGATTCTTTACCAGCTGAGCGACCAGGGAAGCCCAATTCTATCAATGAGATCACATAAAAGAAAATAGCAAGTATAGCATATAGGGAGAGAAATATTACTTCATGATTACTTGTTTCAGTCTTACATTTTTATATGTATGCACAGAATTATAATAGAAAATACATATGTTAAAGTGGGTTATAATTATAAAAATTTGAAAGCCACTAGTGTAGAAGAGAGAATTAAGAAGCCTCAACAATATAATACATGTATGATTCTTAGCACAGAGTCTGATAAAGACTAGTAAAGACTCCATAAATGGTAGAGATGGTTATTACTACTGTCACAGAGCCTGGTAAAAACTAATAGAGATTCGGGACTTCCTGGTGGTCCAGTGGTTACGAATCCACCTCCCAATGCAGGAGACACAGGCTCTATCCCTGGTTGGGGAACTCAGAACCCACAAGCCTTGGAGCAACTAAGCCCGAGTGCCACAAGTAAGACCCAGTGGAGCCAAAAAATAAAAACTAGTAGAAATTCAACAAATGGTGGTGAAGACAGTTGTTACTACTTGGTCTTGATAAGGCCAGCTTCCTGGGCATTCAACCTGTACAGTCACACAAGACTCTGTGCTCAGAAGGGCCCTGAACTTGGCTTAAGGCTCTGATGTCACCATCTTGAAATTCTTAATTTTGAAGAAGGGGCCCCACATTTTTGTTTTGCACCGTGTCCCTAAAGTATGTAGCCAGGCTTGATTATTTTGTATAGTTGTTTATCATTTATTAAAATGCTGATTTACAACATAAAATATTTAACTGTCACTTATGATGATCAAATTCCATCTCGGCCTCTTATCAATTAGAGGACTGTCAATCTCAGTTTCCTCATCTATAAAATAGGGTAATAATAGTACTTCCCCATAAGGTTATTGTGAAAGTTTAAGTAACACAACACTTGCCACGTGCCCAGATCAGCACCAGGCACATCGTTCATACTCCAAAAATGTTAACTATTATTAGCTTTAGGGGGAAAAAAACGTCAACCTTGGGCTTGGTTTTTTCTGCTGCACATTTTGGGGAGGGGATTATTGAATTAGATCCATCATCCTGGAATTTATTTGAACACCAGATTACTTGTAGAATCTGATGGCTCTTGCAGGAAATACCTCCCAGAGAAACACAGAATCCACGCAGAGTCCTACAGTTGCAGGCCATTTGTGGGCCTTGGAATCTTAGGCTCAGGCCCAGGTCAAGATCGGAGGAAAACCAAGATCACTAATGGCCCTTCTAGTCCTGGAGTCTGTGGGTCTCGGGTGGGAACCGCCAGGCAGCCATGCAGCTGTGGATTACTACTTAAGGGCTGGGTGTGCTGGCTTTGGGCTTTAAGTCAGCAGCTATTTTTAGCTTTGCTATATATGGCCAGGGGAGGAATGTGGGGCTATAGATGGGGGAGGGGTGCCAGGAGGCTTAGGGCAGGGTTTGGAAGACTCCTGTGCCTGGACTACCTTCCCCTTCCCATCAGAGAATTGGAACTTCCAGCCAAAGTGACAAGCAGAGGAGGAGAGGGAAGGTCTGTGGGTTTAGGAATGACGGGGGCAGCCATGAAGATGTCAGGTCAAATCACTTTAGAACAGTAATATTCCTATATTTTTACCGTGATCTGCAACAAAAAATACATTTGAATCATGATATACACATAAACATGTTTTGATACACAAAATATATATATATAATCTCCAACTTAACAAGCATTTCAAGGATCAATACTTTAATCTCATTCTCTATGAAACACTCTGATACTTTCTATTCTGTTCCGTTCTATTCTTTCATTTCTTTTAAAATTCAGGTCAGGACCCACTAAGTTGATTTGGCCAATGGGTCGACACCCCCAGTTTGGAAAGCTACTGTTTGGTTTGGAGCAGGCAGACACCTGTAGCATCAGATTGCAAGGTAAGCCAAGGAATGGAGGAAAGCCGCCGTGATGTCACTTTGATCAATGCTTCTCAAACTGAAACTAAGACACAAATCTCAGCTTGATCTCCGCTGGGCTTCAGTCTCTGTACACTGTTCTCAGCACCCGGAGCAAGCGTCCTCTACTGTTGTCTCTGGCTCACTTTGTACTTCAGAGCCCCACTTGCCACTTCCTCCAGGAAGCCTCCCTGATTGCCTCAGTCTGGTTAGCCACCTGCTTCTTGCTCGCTTAGCCCCCAGCATGTCCCTGCTTTGCACCCAACACAATTTTTTCTACGTTCCCTGGAAGGCAGGGTGACCTCTCCCATCCTGTTCATTTCTACACTCTCCCCATCCGCCTCCCCCCCCTCCACAGCCCACCCAGTGCTGGCTTCCTAATAATCACTCAATAAATATTTCCTGAACGAATTAGTGATAGTTAATAGTAATAATGGCAACTGCACATTCATCCCATGAGAAAGCTTAGGAGAGGTTAGTATAAATCCATCTTAGGGATGAGGAAACTGAAACTCCGAGAGACAAGAGAATACGATAGGGGCACGGTGGTGATCCAAGGCTGCCCAGCTCCCAGCCGTCCCTAATCCCAGGATCTTATTTGTCCACATTCCCCTCAGTGCTACCCAGGATGGGGCAAAGGGCAGGTCCTTAACAACCCCTGGGAAAACTGATGACAGGTTGATTAAAGAGATTTTCCGAAGCAGTGGCCACATCTAATTTTGGAGGGTTGCGCTTGAGGGAGAGGATCTCTGAGGTTTCCAGACCCCCAGGATGTGAGGCTGTCTCATCCGAGAGGAGAATCTGGGCTTCTGACAAACCAGAGGGGCAGACCTCCCTATGACCTGGCCCGAAGGGCTCCTGGACACACCTAGGGTAAAACCCCGGGCCCTGCAAACCTTGGTGCCCTGGCCCGTGCCCACATCTGGGCAGCCCTGGCAGCCCAGCCTGTGCCCCTCATTCACGCCTCTCCCACCACCCCGGCGTTCTTGCTGTTCCTCGTACATGCCAAGCCCAGGCCCGCCTCAGAGCCTCTGTTATCGCCATTCCCTCTGCCTGGGGTCTTCCTTCCTTCTCCCATCCTCCCCACCCTAGTGCTCAGACACCCGCCCTCCCAAAAATATCACCCTCTTCCCTCTCTGCTAGTTTTTCCGTAACACAGGTAACTTTTGGAAATTGCATCTGTGTCTGTTTTCCTGTTTCTTTCTGTTTTCTTCACTAGACAGGGAGCTTCCTGAGGACTTCGCTTGCTCACTGCCTCGGACCCTGGGACTTGCTGCGGGAGGGCACCTGACATATCACTGGTGCTCTGTAAAGGAATGAATGGGTTTTCCCTGTTTTAGACCCACTGGGATATCAGCCTGTAGTTTCCCAGAAATATTGCTGTGTCCCTGTGACTCACATCCATGCTCCCAAGACATGAGGGGAGGAGGAACAGGTGAGGGGAGGGAAGGAACTTTCTGCACATGCATATTGGCACCACTTTGCCTGGTTCACTGATGCCCAGCAAGCCTGCAGGAACTATCTCCACTTGGTAACTGGAACATGTGAGGTTTGCTCTCTGCTCGTCCCCAGTGCTCTGCGCAGTGACCAGTATAAATGTCTGAATTGCACTGAATTGCAGAGGTTCCAAAAACAGCTCAAAGTCACCAAATTAGGAAACTTGGAGCCAGATTTTGTCCAATTCCAGCCAGCCATTGTGCCACGAAAACTCTGTTCACAACCTGTTAATGTCCAGTTGCATTCGAGGTTGAGCCCTCACCAGATATCCAGCAGTAGGTAACCCAGCCAGGAGCCTGTCCTGTACCTGAGGCCACTGTCTACAAGCCTCACAAACACACTCTTCCCATCAAGATGCAGTTCCGATGTCTTCTCCTCTAAAGCCTCCCCTGACCTCCTCAGACCTAACTTCCCTTTTCTGCCACAGCACTCCGTGAATACTTGCATATAATTGTTTGTCTGCAAGCCTATCTTTGAACCCATGGACTCTATTCTATTTCTCTCTACCTTTAACCCTTTTTACAATGCCTGGTGAATAAGTGGTACTACAGAAATAGTCACTGAACAAAAGTGTGCTTGGATGGATAGATGGATGGATGGATAGAAGGATGGATGGATAGATGGATGGGTGGATGAGTGGGTGGATGACTGAGTGAGTGGATGGATGGATGGGTAAATGGGTAAGTGGGTGGGGGGTGGATAGATGAATGAATGAATGAACACTTCATGATCTACTGGCTGAAAATAACTTTCATGGCAAAGTTGACATTAGATACCAATTCTTCTGGACTAAATTCCAGAGCTCTTTGTACACCTAGCCTGCCACAGTCGCAGTGGCGTCTTATTGAATGTGTCTTGAATGTGTGTTTCTGTGGCAGGCCTCGTACCAAGCATGTCTGCCAATTCTCTCGACAGCTCCGTTATTGGCTTCACTTTTCCTGACAATGAAATGGATGCAGAGGGAGGTGGAGCTGCTTGCCCAAGGCCACACAGCAAATCATATCCTGGCCCCTCCTGCCCCACCCTCCACCACCTTCCTCACCCCAGCCGGCCCCTCCCCAGGTCTGCAGGCTGCAGGCCGGGCTCACCTCCATCCGCGTAGGTCTCGGTGCCATAGCCGTCCTGCAGGCCGTTGTTCCAAGTGCCCTCATACTTGGCACCACTGCTGCTGCTCTGCCGGGTCCCGTAGCGTCCCTTGAAGCCATGTGTCCACTCGCCCTTGTAGAGCCAGCGTCCCTTGGTCTCTATGCCCAGCCCGTGCCGTTTGCCCTGGCTCCAGTATCCCTCGAAGGTGTTTCCGCTGGGCCAGGTGTAGACACCCGCCACTTCAAAGCCAAAGTTCCAGGAGCCCGAGTATTCACCCTGGCCCTTGGGGCCCGTGCACAGGCCATGCCCGTGCGCCTTGCCCCCCTCCCAGCCCCCGCAGTACGCCCCGCCATCATCAAAGTCAAAGCGACCCCCGCTCATCTCATCGTAGCCCCCGACCTCCTCACCGTTCTCCAGCTTTGGGGGAGAAGGTGATGGGGAGAGGGGGTGCCAGCAACTCTCTCCAAGCAGCTCAGGGCTGGGCGCTCCCCTGACTCACCGCGCCCCAGGAGGGGGGAAGCGAGATGCCAACTTAGGCTGCAGGAACCCAGGAGCCAAGTCAGCACTGGGTCGGGCGGTCAGTGCCATGCCTGGGAGGCCCCCACTCAGTCGGCCAGAGGAAGGCTGCCAGCCGAGGGGGAAGTGGGAAGGAAAGGTTCGAAGTCTCCACGGAGTGTGCCCAACCTGGCTTCCATGGAGTCAAAGGGAAAAGCGCTGTGATCCCTTTAAGAAGTGCAATGGGAGGGATGGGGTGGAGGGATCACCAGTCCTTCTTCAAAAAGGAAAACTTTTCCTCGGTGACAGCCCCCAGCCCAGAGGCTGAATTCCCGCAGCAGGCTGGCCCCCTTCTCCTCCAACCCCCCTGGGTGTGCCGAGCTGTGATTCCGCGCCCTGCCCCGCCCCCCTCCAATCCTACCCTCCTCCTGGGATGGAAAGGTCAGTGTTGCCCTAACAAGGCCATTGGATCTCAGAGGCTGCTCCCAAAATAACCCCCCGGCCAGCCCAGCCTCCTTCAAAGTGGGAGGGGTGTTTCAAACTGGGCTAGCGCTTCAGACTCCGGGAGTGGCTGGAGGGATGAGGAAGGGAAGCTGAGAGCGAAGTGTGGGTAGCTGGGGCAATCGGGCGGCTTTTCTTCTCTTGGGTAAAGAAGAGCTCCCTTCCACCTTACTGGTCCCTGAGTGTCCGGCAGGGAGGGGAGAGGAAGAGCCAGCCCTAAAACACTTTCAAATCCCCCTGAGTGTAGAAGCCGGCGAACCTCAGCCCCAGCGCCACTCACATGCCCCGACAGGACCCGGGGCTATCAGAGCATCGCTGCCAACCCCATAAAAGAATCTGGTGACCTAAAGAGAAAGGAACGGGCATGGGGTCACATATGCTTTTGAAAGCGGAGGAGGGAACTCGGGAAGAAAGGTGAAGTTCTGGAAACAGAGTGGGGAAGATAAAGTGAATCTGACAGCCCCAATTCCCTCCCTGCCCCCGCACCCTGGGAAAACCCCCGGAAGAGCCCCGTGCAAGAAGCATCTCTGGATCACTCCCTTTCTCTCTTCTCAAGGGCGAGGAGCCCGCCCTCTGCTCTCTAGTTCTGAGACACTGCATGACTGGTTGTATTGCCAGGAGATCCTCTCAGAAATACTCAAGGATCATGGTTTTTTGTTTGTTTGTTTGTTTTTAATTCTCTTTCCAAACTCTCTTTTGCTGTGCTCTCCTAACAGCCTGGAAGGCCATATTTCAGAAAGCTCCTAGGGCAAAGTCAAGAGCAAAGGGGCTGACTAGCCCTCAGGTTCCCACCGAACTCCAGGAAAAGGGACAAATAAATCTCCATGATGAGAGGCGGTGGCCAAGACCAAGGGATGGAAATTTCAGACTTCTCTGGTGGTCCAGTGGTCGAGAATCCGCCTGCCAGTGCAGGAGACACAGGTTCGATCCCTGGTTCCCTATGATCCCGCATGCCCTGGAGCAGCTAAGCCCACGTGACATAGCTACTGAGCCTGAGCGCCTAGAGCCCGTGCTCCGCAACGAGAGAAGCCGCCGCAATGAGAAGCCCGCTCACCGCAACTTGAGCAAAGCCCTCGAGCAGCGACAGAGACCCAGTGCAGCCAAAAATAATAAATAAATACAAGATTTAGGATTTTGTTTTTAAAAAATAGAAATCCCAACTGAACCCAGGATTAATAGGAATACAGTAATTCTGTGAAAGATAGGGGCCGCCAAGCACAGGAAGCTGTGTGTACGTGTGTGTCTGTGTGTGTGAGAAAGATGGGGGGGTTGGCAGGGAGGAGGATAGAAATCACACACACACACACACGAAAAGCCCAGAAGGCACTTGAGAACATTCAACAATTATTATCTGACTTCAAACTGATTTGTCATACTCTGAATCCCATGATGACTTAGGCCACTTCAAGTCACCACCAAAGATGTGTTCTTGTTTAGGAAATGGATAGACAAGCCTCTCTCCCTTCACCCTTAGCTGATCCTGGTTCTTATCGCCGCTTGGTTCCTTCCTTCTTCAGTCCCCTGCCTTAAAAAAATGCTTCTCTGCCCACGTTTTACCCCCTGATAGAAACACCCAGCCTCGGAGCTCTTTGCCAAGCAGACATGCAGCAAAAAGCAGTAAAGACTGTCTCGTCTGGGCTTTGACTCACCCCAGCCCCCTGCCCCGAAGGTTGCCTGACAGCCTGCTCGCCCAGTTCACTGCTGAGACCACCTCAGTGCTGGCCCCGTAGAACTCTGCTGTTGCCACTTCTGACCAACCCTGAAAAGCCACGCGTTTCTTTCCACCTCTGCTCTCCAGGGGAGAGGAAAGAGCATCTCCAAATGGAAGCCAGAGGACTCTGAGTTCAACACCCTTTGTAGTTTAAATGCCCAGCCAATGGGCATAATCCGGTTCTAAGGCTGGGTGGCCGGCTTCTGTGTCCTAGTGAGCTGTTCCAAGTGCAGCAACTGTGCATCCATAAGCCTCTCTACAGTGGTTCCCTCCCGAGGATGGGTACACGTAAGAATCACCTGTGGAACTTAAAAACGTGAACAGATTCTGGAATCCCACCCCCTCCCCAACCTACTGGATTGTCCTGGGAGAAGGCTCCAACACTTGCATTCTTTTTAAAATCTCCTTGGACAAATCTGACTCTCATTCCCGGGAAAGAATCACTGTAGGTTTTCAATTAAGAAACAGTTTCTTAATAATGTACAGATCCATGCCCTTACTTACTTACCATCTGTTGTGTAGGGTAGATAGTTACAGAGCTAGATTTGTGTTCAGATCCTAGTTCTGGCCCTCACAAGCTGTGTGGCTTTGGACTAATTGTTAATTTCTCTAAGTTACAAATTCTTTGTCTGCAAAAGGACCTATCTCAAAGGATTCTCCGGAGAAGAAAATGGCAACCCACTCAGGCACCATTGCCTGGAAGATCCCATGGATGGAGGAGCCTGGTGGGCTGCAGTCTATGGGATCGCGTAGAGTTGGACACGACTGAAGCGACTTAGTAGCAGCAGCCACATAGGATTCTCAGGGTGTTTTTTTTTCTAATTTATTTATTTTTTAATTGAAGGATAATTGATTTACAGAATTTTGTTGTTTTCTGCCAAATACCAACATGGATCAGCCATAGATATACATATGTCCCCTCCCTCTTGAACATCCCTCCCAAGGATTCTGTTTCAAGGATAATAGTATCTACCTTATATGGCTGGATGAGGATTAAGTGAGTTAATGGTGTAAAAAGATTTGTGCACACATGCTAAGTCACTTCAGTCATGTCTGACTCTTTGTGACCCTATGGACCATAGCCCACCAGGCTCCTCTGTCCATGGGATTCTCCAGGCAAAAACACTGGAGTGGGTTGCTGTATCCTCCTCCAGGGGATCTTCCCAACCCAGGGCAGTCTGCCTTGGGTCTCTTACCTCTACATGCATTGGCAATCAGTTTCTTAACCATTAGTGCCATCTGTGGAAGCCTGTAAAATGGCTCAGAAGACACTAAATACCCAATAAAGGTTTGCTATTATTAACATTACCCTCACACGATAGGTTGCTTTTCACAACCTAAATGTCCATCAACAAGTGAATGGATAAAGAAGATGCGGTACATATGCATAAGGGAATACTACTCAGCCATAAAAAGAATGAAATAATGTCATTTGAGGCAACATTGATGAACCTAGAAATTATCACTTAGTAAGTGTAGTAGGTCAGAAAGAGAAAGACAAATACCACATGATATCACTTATGTGTGGAATCTAAAATATGACAAAAAATGAAGTTATCTATGAAACAGAAACAGACTCACAGACATAGAGAATAAACTCATGGTTGTCAAGGTAGCAGGCAGGGTGAGGGAGGGATGTGGTGGGAGTTTGAGATTAGCAGATACAAACTATTATATATAGAGTGGATAAGCAACAAGGTCCTACAATAGCACAGGGAACTATATTCAATATTTTGTGATGGACCATAATGGAAAAGAATATGAAAAAGAATGCATGTGTACGTATAACTGAATCACTGTGCTGTAAGGCAGAAATTAACACAATGTTGTAAATCAACTATACTTGAATAAAATAAAATAAATTAAAAAAAAAATAAGTTGCTTTTCACACTATCATGCTTAATAAAATTATTACCAAAGGGAAGAATCACCCCCTAAATACTAAGTACCTTAACACTGAAGCACTCCTTACTCTTCCCAATATGTATTTACTCAACATTGCCCTGTGGTTTCCCCCTTTTCAAAGTGATAAATTATATTATTGGCAAAGGGACACTGATTTCTTGACAGTTTAAGTGAGGACTTCTCTGGCGGTCCAGTAAAGATGCCACACCTCCAACGCAGGGAGCACGGGATCAATCCCTGGTCGGGAAACTAAGATTCCACAGGCCGTGCAGCACAGCCAGAAGTTTCAGTAAATTTTTTGCCAAATTTGGTACCGGCCTTACCTGACCAGCCATCACTTCCTTGCCTCTCCCTTTAAACCAGTGCGTTTCAGGGAAAGGGAGACCCCTTGTGGCCACATTGCATTACAACAGATTTTTCTTAGAAAAACCAAGTTCCCCATTTGAAACATATACTAAACTTGGAACGAATTTTAAATTGCTTTTAAAGGTAGCTATCCCATTCTCTCTTTTTCACAGGTTTTTCTCACTCCACAGGGTTGTCCTTTGGTCAGAAGGCGCAGTCACTTGCTTCCCTTTTCTCCTCAACTTCTCTGGCATGACTGCTTCCTAGGGAGGGAGGAGAGGAAGGGACTAAAAATCCAGAACAGAGAGAAGGAATGCACACAGAAATCTACTCGGGTCTCACGTTCCTTCTCAGCACCGAAGACTTAGTTAAAGAAGCCTCACCTCCCCAGACAAGCGATCTGGCTGGGTTACGTGCCTTCCCACACGCTGACTCCTTCCCCCACCTATGAGCTGTCTGAAGCAAAGACTACTTTCATTCCTTCCAAAAAAAAAAAAAGCAGCCCAGCACCCGCACAAACTGCGTGCCCTCATCTTTCCTTCTGATTTGGCAGCTGACAACTCCCTTCTTGAGATGCTTTTTCAGTCTACTCCTAGGGCTTGTCTCTTGGTTCTGTCCTGCCTCCATTGGCTGCTCCCACACAAGTCTTCTGCAGGTTCCTCCTCATCGCCCTGCGCTCTAGACTTTGGAAACTGGCCCAGAGCTTGGTCCTCTTGCTGTATACCTACATTTACTCTTTAGGTGATCTCCTTTGGCAGTAGAGTTTTCAGTAACACCCACACCCTGATGGCTCCTAACGTTGGATCGCCAGCCTGTCCCGCTCCTGATCTTCAGTTGCATATCCAACCACCGACTCAGCATCTCTACACGATATCAAAAAACTCCCAAAGTCTCCTCCCAAATCTGCTCCTCCAGCCACCTCCCACTGTATTAAATCTTGGGAATCATCCTTAATTTCAATCCTTTTCTTTCACCTTATGTGCACACATGCTAAATTGCTTCAGTCGTGTCTGACTCTTTGAGACCCTTGGACTTAAGTCTGCCAGGCGCTTCTGTTCATGGGATTTTCCAGACAAGAATACTGGAGTGGGTTACCATTCCCTCCTCCAGGGGATCTTCCTGACTTAGGGATCAAATCCATGTCTCTTGTGTTTCCTGCATTGGCAGGTGGGTTCTTTACCACTGAACTTCCCTGGTGGCACAGATGGTGAAGGATCCGCCTGTAATGCAGGAGACCTGAGTTTGATTCTGGGTTTGGAAGATCCCCTGAAGGCAACAGCAACCCACTCCAGTATTCTTTCCTGGAGAACCCCCATGGACAGAGGAGCCTGGTGGGTTACAGACCAGGGGGTCGCAGAGTCAGACACGACTGAGCGACTTTCACTCACTCACTCTTTACCACAAGCACCCCGAGAAGCCCATATCCTCATATCCATCACACCTTATATCCATCAGCAAGTCCCTTTAGCTCGACCTTCAAAATAATTTCAGAATAGGTCTTCTCTCCTGCACTGCCAAGGGTCTGAGCCACTTGAAACCATTGTCTGATTCACTGCAGTAGCCTCCTGCCTGCCTCCCTTTCCTTTTCCTAGCTCCCCTTAGTCTACAGAGCAGCCAGTGCTCTTTATAAAAGGCAAATCTGAGGTCTCTCCTGTCCTCCAAACCCTCTCAAAGGCTCCCTGTCTCCTCACAAATCAGCTTTAAAACGGCCCACGAGTCTCCATGATCTGCCGTGACCCATGCTTCTGTGACCTCACCTAATTCAAGGAATGCTGCCAGGAATCCTCTTCCCCCAAATATCCACATGGCTCACTCTTGTTATCTTCAGGTCTCAGCTCAAATGTCACCTCCTCACAGAAGCTTCTCTGACTACCCCAAGTGAAACAGCAACCCCTCTCCCTGCCCTAGCCCTTGCTGTTTCCTAATCCTTCTCTCTCCATAGCATCTTCTCCAAGGATAAGATGATGTCCTGTTCCCAGCACCTAGTATAGCGTGACTGTGTTGTCAGCAAGTAAAGATTTGTTGAATGAATGTTCAATGAAGTTACACATCAGGATGCTACTTCCCAAAACATCAGAGTAAAAATCCCTCAAACCACAATTTGAATGTTTTCCAGGATGCATCTGACAAACATTGGTCCCGTAAGTTGGACTCACAAATGGTTAACTGTTCCAATTAGGGACACATATTAAAGCTGGCCCAACTGGGTTTTGAGTGGTGATCTTGGACTTCCAAGATTTATGTTTAAGGGAAGATTCTGACTGAGATGTAAATCTTACAACTCATTCCTGCAACTCTGGGGTTGCCCAGCTTTTGTCCACGTGTGGATTTCTCCAACAGGTTACTCAGCCATTGGAACTTGGTCCTTTTCTTCTGACTCTCCTAACAACTCTGAATAAAAGAAACGGTCATCACTCACCCTTCTCCTGTGACTGTTCTGTTAATATACAGAATTAATAATTGGACAGCTGCTTTGAAAAGCAAACTAAAACCTTAAAAGACTTAACAGACTTAGGAACTATTTTAATTCAAGTAACATGTTCGGCTCAACTTGCTCCACTTCTTTCTAGTAAAAAAGGTAAAGCAAACACTAGCTGTGTAAGTTGGGGAGTCGGTGGGGGGAGGGGCCATAGGTGCCTTTATAACCAGAAGTGCTAATGGCCTAGATTCAGTTCAGTTCAGTTGTTCAGTCGTGTCCAACTCTTTGCGACCCCGTGGACTGCACGCCAGGCTTCCCTGTCCCATCACCAACTTCTGGAGCTTGCTCAAACTCATGTCCATCGAGTCAGTGATGCCATCCAACCATCTCATCCTCTGTTGTCCCCTTCTCTCCTCCTGCCTTTGATCTTTCCCAGCATCAGGGTCTTTTCCAATGAGTCAGTTTTTCGTTATCAGGTGGCCAAAGTATTGGAGTTTCAGCTTTAGCATCAGTCCTTCCAATGAATATTGGAGTATATTCACTGGATATATTCAATTAGAGAAGGGAATGGCAAACCAGTACTCTTGCCTTATATGGCCGTATGTAAAATTCACTTTGGAACCACCCGGAAAAGAGAGTTCTTCCTCCAGTGGAAACTGTGGACAGACTTTTGTATGAAACTTTGGAGGGAGCAGTGGCCTTGTCGGTCTTTAATTACAGGACATGGCATGGATAAAATTCTCTTTGGGGCCTGCTGGGGTAGGAGGGCAGTGCAAAGAGATACTGTCCATCCAGAACATTTGAAACTGAGGTATGAGGTCTATTCTGCAAGTGACTGAAACATGCCTTATATACCAGAATGCTAGAGATGGAGCAGATACACAGCAGTGTCAAACATCACACCCCTCTCCCGCAACGAAGCAGCTCACTCCAAGCTGCTTCTCACCTAAGAAATTTGATGTGATGTGTCTCAGGGTGAACAGCACCAGCAAGGGTCTGCTTGGTGATGGTTAATGATTCTCTCAAACAATACAGGGCAGGCCAGCCAGTTTATTTATATTGAATCTAAACCTTAGATCTCTGGCTTAACAGTAACATAAGAAACCTTTAAAGACACAATAAATCTCATGTAAATCAGATGATTTAAACCAGTCATGTGACTTCTAATACCGCCGGGCTGGCAACTACAGCATGACACATGCTCAGTCCAGTTACAAAACCACATTTCATTTTCCTTGGCACCCAAATCTTACACACATCTGAAAAATGCACTGTTTTTCAAAGGCTTTCACCATAAACCCGCTGCTACCAGTCAAGCAATGACCGTTTGTTCATTCCCCAGGGACATTTCTAAATGATCTGCTCACTTTGGTGGGTATGTAAGAGCTCAGAAAGTTTAAAGAACGAAGATTAACTGACTGAGATGCCAAGAAAAGTTTTTATTGCAAGCACAGTGAGCAGAAGGAGATGTCTTCTCACACAAAGTAGCTGCAAGGTCTGCTGTTAACTAACTCTCTGACAACCCTTCATTGGTTAAAGCATAGGAAGGAGATTCTTACTCTCAGGTGTACATCATTTCTGCCATGTGGGACATTTTCTTGGGGATATACAAGTAATATTCCATGTAGCCCGACAGGTCCTCAATGGTCACGTCATCCACATAGACGCGAGCCTGCTCAGAACAAGAACGGGGAGAGCCAGACAGAGTTCTCGTGTGAAGCGACTGAGAGTAGTCCTCAAGTGTGGATCTTCGTTCTGGGGCCAGAGGAGGGACATTCTGCAGGCCTGAAAAGGAATACACCTCCATGTCATGCCACCTCTTACACTGGCACTCCTTGCCTATGCATGCACATGGCTTGCCCAGGTTTAGCTTGGAAACCGATTGAAAGTCAGAGAGATCACTGGCCTGGAGACTTGCTTGGGAGACTTGGGGCGCATCAGAGGGATCTTCCTCCTTACTCTCTGATGGGAGCCTTGGAACCGAAGTTCTCAAAGGCTCAGCAACTGCCCCTGTGTGATTAGTATCGAGAGAAGTTGAGCATTCTCCTGCATTGAACTCTTTAGGGGTTGAAATTCCCAGCCCACTGCTGCCATCAGGGGAGTCAGTCTGGCTTTTGTGCTTGAGCTGGCTGCTGGAAGAAGCTATTGTACTGCAATGTATGAACTTTGGAGGATGAAGGACAGGAGACTTGGAACGGCGTCGACGCTGGGTTCTCACTGCTCCTCGTGAAGACTTCCTAATAGACCTAAGAGGAAAAAACACACAAGAGGATGTTAAGATATAGAGTTCTTCTAAAGAGATCCTTTAACATGGTTGGGAAATTGCCACCTCTCTGGTGAATGAGTGGAAATAAGTTCTCCCCAAAGATGTGCGAACACCTCCACTGTCAAGCTGCCTGAGTCTGTGCATCTCAGAAACTCCAACACACCCTTACTACAGGACTGGTGAAGGGTAGTTTTAAGTCATGTTTCTCAGACCAAACATTTGGTGCAGAAGACCTGTCTGCCCTGTCCCAACCCTTGGCTTAGGAACCTCTAACCAGTGGTCTGGGGAAGCACCTTGCACAGACAACTTAGAAAAACCTCAGTGCTGAGCTCTATGCTCTGAACAAGGCAGTGTCAGTACCATTGTGGGGGGCGCTAATGCTACAAACAGTCACTTGTTCAACAGAATGACAGATTTAGAATTCATTTCTATCACTGGAAACAGCTGAAAAACAGATTTTGACACTCTCAAGTTTTCAGATATTGGGAATTATCAGGCACATTAGGTAATTTTTATAAAAAGTCTTTAATAAGAATTGTGCAAAGAGAAAAAGGCTCAAAATTGCCAAGCAAATCTGAAAGAGATAATGGCCAAGCAATTTTCTGAATTGATGCAAGAGAATCTACAAACACAAGAAGTACACGCTAAAGCAGGACAACCAATTGGAGAATACCAAAAACAACAGGAACATCTTAAAAGCAACTAGAACTAGATGGATTATTGCCAAAAGAAGAAAAATTAAGTCTGAAAGTAGGCTTTGCAACAACAACATGGAAGCCAGAAGACAATATCTTCAAGTGCCAAGAGAAAATAGCTGTCAACTAGGACCATGATTTCAGGTATATTAAATCAGGTATAACTTTCAAGAAAAAGGATGATATACAGACATTTTCAGAGAAACATTCTATACGGACAACTAACAGAGAGCCCCCCCTCCCCTTTTTAAACTAAATAACAGACTTCTTTAGGAAAAAACTGATCCTACATGGAAGGTCTGATGCCACAATGGTGAGAGTAAATAAAGTGTACATGAGATGAATCTAAACAAACACTCTCTAATTTAAATAAAATGAAGTAGGGTAAATAAAACTGAACTGATAAGACAAAAAATGAGTGACAGAACTAAAGTACCAGGCCATCACATGGCAGAAGGAGACTGGAGCAAAACAGTTCTGAGGAGGAGGGCTAAGAGAAACAAAGTATGTAATTTCCAAACCAATGAAAGGAAAACTGTTATGGAGAAAAACAAACATATTTCAAACAATTTTTTAAATGGGGAGAAGAGGGAAAGTGGGAATAAAAGAAAGAAAAAAAAAAAGGCAGGACAAACAGTATAAAAGAACAGAACAAATCCAAATATATCAAAAATCAAAATAAATGTAAGTTTAAAAAAAAAGATGATCAGACTGAGTAAAATTAAATAAGCCATACATATTTATATCAGACACACCAAAAATTCTGAAACACAAAATGGTTGAAAATAAAATAGAAAAAATACACTAGGCAAATACTAAAAGACAACTGTATTAGTTTTATCAACTCCAGACAAAAGAGACTTTATGACAAAAGCCATTATGGGGGATTAAGAAGGTCACTAAATACAGTAAAAGTCTCAATTCATCAGGAAGAAAACATTCTAAACTGGCATGAACTTAGACTATAAACAAAACAGCTTCAAAATGATAAAGCAAAAATATAGAACTTACAGGGAAAATAAACAAATGTACTCCAGTGGGGGACAGTTCAACAAACCCTCAATTATTAACAGGGCAAGCTAACAACAACAAAAATTATTTGAAAAAAGATCCTGTAAATAAGACATTTAAAAGCTTACTTTAATGGACATTTACAAAACCTAAGAATGATTAGAGGAGAGCCATTCTTCTCAAACACACATAGAACACTTATAAAAACTGACTACGGACCAGGCCATACAGCAAATTCACAATGAGAAGAAAGGTTCTTCTTTAATGGTGCATCTTGGGTTCTGTATCGTAAGACATTCTCTTTTGAATTTTCAGGAAAGAAAATCCAGCAACACGCCAAGGTGCTGGGATAAAAGCCATCTGCACAGAGGAGTTCTTACCCATGCCAACTGTCTTTAGATGCACACGCGGTCTTAGGTTTGGCATCCTCTACTGCTGCTCTGCCTGGCGCTCTGACACTCGTGCCTTCTCCAACAGATAGAGATGCCATGGACCTGAAGACAAGAACAGAGTTTACTGCTTAGGAAACCACGCAAGGAGAACACACTGCTCTCACCAATCCAAATGCAACTTGTGTTAATAACTTTATTGCCTTTGCCGTTTGCTTTTCTCAAGAATTGCTCAGCTTTTACTGTAAACTGTCCTCCAAAACCAAATTTGGAGGATCCCTAAGAGTTCACAGTTGCAAAATCGTAAGCCAAAGAATGACTCTTAAGTATAACCAGCAGTGGGATATAAATAGACTGTTTATCTGGGGCAGATCAGGCCTTATGTCCAGGGAGAATGCTAATGACACTGAACACTTATTTTATGTGGGCAAAACAGAGCTGTGAAAACTTAAGTTCAGGAGGGTAAACTTCAGGAAACTCAATCTAACTTTGGGAGACTCAATCTAAATGAATCCTTTTTCAAATACTATACAACTTATACAAAAATATTCTGATTTTTACAACCAATAAACCTGAAATATTACTCAGTTAAATCTCTGCACTTTAAAACTACACAAGTAACGTGGGTTCTTAGTAAAGAAGATGAAAAAATTTAAAAGAGAAAAGAATCAACTCTAATTTCACAATCCAGAGATCAACATTAACATCAAATTCTTCTGGACTTTTTCAAAACACACACACACACGTACACAGGGCTCCTACTATACATGCTGTAGTACTGACAAATATCCTATAGAAAGAGACAGTCTACTAAGTAAAAAGATGTTCACTCGCTGAAATATTAATTTAAAAGCTGGCAATAACTAAATTGTTATTTCTGTCTAATAACAGAAAATACCATACTATATAAAATTAGTGTCGTTCGGTATACAATGGGATATTAGGAATTTATTAAAAATTAAGTGTACAAAGAACTTTTAATGACACGGGAGAATGCTTATATTAAGGGAAAACAGCATGGATGAATACCTGTACATATATTATGATTTCAACTGTGTAAAGAAAGTGATATTACAGATGATTTAGATACTAACAGTGGTAATGGTAAGTTGTGATTTTTACTTTTTTATCCATTTTACGATTTATACATAATAAGCATGTATTATGCTAAATATATATATACAGTCTGAAAAAAAGGACTATATTGTTTTGCAATTAAATATACAGAGTCTATCCCGATAAGACAAATACCAAAACCCGTTCAACAGGATCATACTAAATTCCTTGGCAAGGCTTGGTCAGTTTATGAGTCAGTACCTCACATGTTCCATTTGTAAATCAGCAACAATTCCAAACAACCAACTAGAACTGTATGATACACTATACAAGTCGTATTCTGCTTAGTCACAGTAATGACTCACCCCACGTACTCTGACTTGGTTTTCTCAGATGTTCTCCACTGCTCCTTCTCTTTATAATTTTACACATAGTAGATTGCAAGCTATGAATACGTAATATCGGACCATAAACCGCAGAGTATTTTGAAAGATTTTATGTTCCAAGTAATTTTTAGGGGCACAGAAACAGCTTAATTTTATGTTCCAAGGAAAACAGTCTGTGTATCAAGAGCTAAGTAAATTTATACACTAAGGGATTTACATATACCTGTGCATTTATAAGTATTTTCCTGATTAAAAGTTGCATGTCTATACCAGAAATCACAGAAATCACACCATGACTAGAGTCTGGAACTATGTGTTCCTCTGCTTTGTTTCTGCTTCCCCAAATAGCAAATACTAATCAATTCTAACAGCAAGATGACCGTATTGGCAAAATCACTAGGAGAAGATACTTATTTGCAGTATCATGGAAATGAATGTCAGCACCTGTAACAGCTACTGTGCAAATCTATGAGTATAAATTTTCTCATTTGGTAGGCCAAAAACAGTATTAGCAATAGGCAGACAGCTGTAACAACTAACATCTATGTAATTTTACTATGCACCAGGTACTGAATGCATTTCTTCATGTTGTCTTCAAGGTACCATAAAAAGGAATGGTTAAGAGCAGAGGTTCTGGAGAAAAATTATCTGGGTTCAAATTCTGGCTCTACCACGTCTTACCAATGTGACCTTTTACAAGACAATTAATCTGTAGCTCCTCTGTAAACTATACAGTATACTCTGTACTGTCTATCTTCTAAGTTGGTAGTGAGGATTAGATGATATGTACAGAGTACTTCAGTCAGTGTTGAGGGCATAGTAATATGAGCAATAAATTTTAATAGTCATTATTGCGTCTTGCTGAGTGTTGGGTTTCCATTCATGAAATGAAATATTGTTATATCCATTAAAATTTAAGATATCTTCTGGCCTAGGGCAAAGAATGGGGATGAAGAGTCCTATATAGAACATTTTGCAAAGGGTGAAATATTAACATTCAGACAGCAGCTGGTCTGCAGGTGCTCTAATTAGTTTGGCCAAAGGGTCCAAGACTATTGATCTCAGTGACAGAACCCTAATGAATAGAGGTTTCCATAGTGATAGGCTCAGCGATCAGAGCCCATGAAATCGACAATGTCTGCAGAGATTCCTACTGAACCAACTCACTTTCAGTGAAAAATACTGTGATTCCCTAGAGGTGTAGGAGGAACTCTCTGATGGGAAACTGACTGCTAATGTGTGATTAAAAAGAGGCAGGGGGCAGGGAAAGCGGTACTCTTCCAAAGTTAAGGATAATTGCCAACCTTGGAATACAAATGAGCAGCTACTTCTCAAAATTTAACAGAAGGGTTTCTTTTAGAACAATGTTATACAGAATTTGGTAAAATATCACACTATTAACATTTTATACTTCCTACAAATAAAAAGAAACTTTAGAAGAGAAAGAGCTCCTCTGAGGAAATGTCTATTTAAATCTAGTAAACAATTCCCCAATAATATACTTCATATTTAATTACCCTGATGCATCCACTCTTAGTTTCTTGAAAGCAGTTTGTAGACTCTCCTCCTCTCCATCCTTGGCTTCCGATTTCATTGTGAAAGTTTTTATACTACTACGGATGTTCCCGTTAATACTAAAAAAAAGAAAATAAAAATTAAATGAGCAAAGTGAAAACAGGTTAAAATCTGTATTCCTGATACTACCATTACTTCTTAGTGGGATAAAGTGCAAATTTCTATTTCTAAAAGGAAGTTTCAATGATTAGGAAACTGCAGGTTTTATTTTTTATGAGGAGACAAATGAAATGATATAGAAAACATGTGTTTATTATGATGGTATTTAAATTGTCCAAATACTTGATGCCAATATCCTGTTTCACAGCTTTTTCACATTACCTAAAATCTGTGTTTCAGTATACTTTTTAACAGGAAGGGAAATCTCTCCAGTTGTAGAAGTCTAGAAACCTACAGAAAAGATGATCACTGCATTGGAAATAAAAGGGAAAAGCTTAGCCTACAAGACTCTGATCTTTAAAATGCTACTCTTAAAAACTGTATATATATATATGCAAACATTCACTTTCCTGTGTACTTGAAACTAATACAATATTGCAAATCAACTATATATACTTCAACAAAAATTTTTAAACAACAAAAAAACCCGCTATTGAGTATTTGTCTCATCTAACTCTGAACATTTCAGATAAGAGTAACTACATGCCACATGACAGCATTTCTCTAAGGCAATCCTGAAGCAGATATCAATATTTATACTTGTATTAATATTCATACAGATAGGTATCAAGTTGTTACCACTATCAAGGCAGGATTACAAATATGTTTCAGTGATACTGACTAGTCCGCACACATCTATAAGACTGATACCTTTGCTTTCTTTAGCTTCTAATACTTTCTCACAAAAATAGATGAACTATACTTGTAACTCAAAATCTTAAAGGTAGCTAAAAAGATAGGAAGTAAAGGAAAAAATTGAAATTGTTCTACAGATACGCCTTTAAATGATCTCCACCTAATCAACTAGTTTGATTAACCAAAGTTCTCCATTTCTCCCACCCTGATTTTTATATTTAAACCAAAAAGGTGGGGGGGGGGGGGGGAGAGACGAACCAAAACAACAAAAGATACAATAGAGAAGTTAATCAATTCACTGACTCTAATCTCACCATTTTTTTTTTTTTACTTTTAGGGTAAAAAATTTCCTGATATCAAATCCGGAATGAAAAACACATGACTTTCTATAAACATATTACTGGAAATCAGAAAAAAAAAAAGTAAAACAAAAAAATAATAAAATGAGGAATTTTTTAAGCATTCACCTTCTCTATTCTCTATTCACCTTCTCTATTTCTAACCTGCTACCCCATCCCCCCACCCCCACCCCTCCTTGGGCACTCTCCCAGTGAGCAGTGCCTAGATCCTTGGAGCCTCATTGATTCTATATCTCCTCATTTCTCAGGGGTGGATTTGATGTTATTGTGAGATCTCTAATATTCTAAAGGTCAGAGTGTCATGATATGTTTGATAATGTAACCATGCAGTACCAGAGGCTGAATTAGGAAGCAAGGAATCAAGACTATTTGTTTTATTTATGTGTAAAAGGTATTTTAGGTAGCCTTCTCTGAGAACACTGAAAACAGTCTCAAAAGAATTCATCTAGTTTTCACCTCAACTTCTTAAAACAAAATATCGAAATACATTCCCCACATATATTTTGCTGGTTTATTTAACTAGAAGAAACAGTGTCGATTCCGTGTTTCACTAGCTCCTAATTCAGTTCTAGATTTAGAGGCGGCTCCTCTCCCAGATACACAATAACATCCTACATGTATATACATATACCTGGGGAAAGGGGTGACCAAAGATCAGATATTCTCTTATTTTTGAAGCTCCACAGCATCTAAAACGGTGCTATCTGTAGGCTGTAAACAAATTCCTCCTGCTGGCAGAACTAAAATAAAGTTTTTATTTATTAGTGTTCCTCAATTACTCTATGACCAGTCAAACACTGGCCCTCACAGACAGACATCATCTGAACCAGTCTCCCCACTCCTGTGGACCCCACACAATCCCTCTTCGGGCCTCTCTAGAAATCAGCACACATCACATCTACATATGCATAGGGGCAGAAATCCATTCCTTACACAAATATTGACAGAATCACTACGATGTACTTTTAGCACTAGTCTGGATGCTTAGGCATGTAAGTGTGAACCTGACACCAGGACTATGAACCCCATTCCTGACACCAGACTATGAACCCCATTCCTGCCCTAACACTGTGCTAGGATGTTTTGCACTCATATAAAACTTTTAACTATACAGGGCTAACAATATACCATAGGTGACCTCCAGATGTTAATACAAATTCCACTAACATTCTTATTGACACTAAAAGATCCCTTTTACAAACCAAAACAGGCCAGAATAAGACTGGCTGCTTACTGAAAGTCTAGGAATGAAGTTTTATCTAAACTATTTTCAGACTTCGAGCATTTTGATTACTCATCTTTTTCCTCAATTAAATTAACCCAGAGCAAAGGTGAATCTCAGGTATGACCTTAAGAGCTAAATAGTAGCGTGTTTGTAATTTTAAAAGGCTTTACCATGCTCCTCCCTCTTCCCATTCACTCAAATCAAGAGCTGCACAACCAACTCCGGGGATCTTACACTTGATTTATCTTCGTTAAGTTTGTGGGAGGCGTTCTTGCCGATTTTTACTGTACTATCTTCGTGAAATTGAACAATCCCAGCAAAGGTCAAACTTTTAAAGTCTGATTTAAAAATCACACGGGGATTCGGAGTTTCCCTTAACCTTTCAAAAAAGCAAAAACAAAATTCTTCTAAGTTCCTCCATCAAAAGGGCAAATTCCTGAATTTTCTCTGACTTTAAACGAAGAGTAGATCTCATAATATTATTTATATCTTGCAGTTTTAACCAAGCCCACTTAACAACCACAAGCCTAGGTCCAAATTTCCCGGGCCCTGAAAAGACCTGAGAACGATCAATAAAGGATCCACGCGTAAGCGTGTCATCACAATGTTAAATAAAGCTTTTAGAAAATTTCCCAGTCCAGCAGGAAGCGTGGAGTGGGGGAAAAGAAAATCCTGTCCAGCAACTCTGAAAGACGCAAACAAGACGAAGTTGCAACAATCGGCCGTTCACGTCTCTCTCTACCCACTCAACTTCTACACCCTCGGTGCCAGAGCACAGCGTTAATTCTTTTCACCCAGAAACTGGGTCGGTCGTGGTTAAACAAGATGGGGCTGGGAAAGGTCAGGGCCTGGGGGGCTTCGGAAAGTGGGGAGCTGTCCGGCGCCCTAACCCGCCCGGGCTCTCCCGCTGCAAAGTTTCCCCTTGAGGATACTCCCCCGGTCAGGATGAGGCCTGCGTCGGGCCAAAGGGGTGAGGGATCCAGAAGGAGGCGGGAACAGGGCCGAAGAGGCAGCCAACGAGACTAGGTCTCGGGAACCAGCGGGAAAGGGCGGGAAGGGGCAAAGGGCGGCCGAGGAGAGCGAAAAGGGGAAGCTGTGCACCGGCGGGAAAGGGCGGAGGCCGCGGAGGCGGGAAGGGGCGAGAGAGAAGAGCCTCTGGCAGAGCCAGGCCGTAGTGGCCGAGGGGACGCGGAGAGGCGGAGGCCCGGCCCGGACGGCCCGGCCCAGGCGGCCAGCGCCGGCGGGCGACGCGGCTCGACGTGAGGCGGGAGGGCCCAGAGGAAGACGCCCATGGCCAGGCCGGGCCGGGAGGCCCAGACGCGGTGACGCGGCGCGTCCGCGTCACGTCAGGATACTCACCTTCTCGCAGCAGGGGCGCTCCGGTAAGCCAGTCCGGTCGGTTTAGAACGTCTCTCCCGGATCGCGGCGCCTGACTGACCCGGATCCAAATCCGCGGAGAGACGACCAGCGCCTCCGAAGTCGCACTGCGCCTGCGTCCCCCAGGCGCGCGCCCCGCCCCCTTCTCATTCTCCTCCCATCTCGTGCACTTGGCTACGCGGGAGGCAGCGGCTGCGCAGGCGCCAGGCCGTGGCCGCGCGTCTCAAAAGCCTGGCGCCAGCCGCTCACGAAACACGTGCGCCTGACGTCATTTCCTGTTATTCTCTTCACTGGCTCCTCCCTCCGCGAAGGGTTCGCTGGGGCTGGGATTTGGGGGCTTGCCCGCTTCCTCCCCTTGGTCAGGTGAGTGAGTGGCCGTGCTTCACCAGCCAGCCGCCTCAACTTCGGGTCTCCTGGTGTCTTGAGCCGTACCTGGAGTCGACAAGGCTGCGGGATTCCTTGGGGTGAGGCCATGATGGTGGGGATCTTCACGGCAATGGACCCCGTCTGAGCGATTGGCAAGAGCCCCCTCGACGCCCGAATTGAACTTCCTGCGACATCTCCAGAACTCCGACGAGAGCCCTTGCGTCCCAAGGAATCTTCTAGGGCTGCAGAGAAAGCAAGGAGCTATTCGACAGGGTCAGAACCGTGAACGTGACACCAGAATCGGAACTGAAATGCCTTTGTTTTAGTATATCCCTGTTGTTCGACTTGAGGCAACTCGCTTTTTCATCTCTGGGCCTCAGTTTCTCCCTTCCGACTATTTCAGCGAATCTCGTTTTTTTTGTTGTTGTTTTGTTTTTGTTTTCCAGGCATGGACTCCTTTGAGAATCTGGGGAGATCTGTAGACCCTCTCGACAAAAAGACGTACATGCATACTAAATTTTGCAAAAAGGTTTGCGCAGGTCACCTAAGTAGGTGATTTTTAGGTATCTTGTCTATTTGTATGACTCATAACAGGCTAAGAAGGGGTGGGCTTCCCCTCAGCTGCCACTCCCTCCAACAGGAAGAGTGGTTCTGCGGAGTTCACTGCACCTCTCAGAGCACCTGTCAGCGCTGTATGGGAAAAGATGACTCTCCTCAATAGAATGGGCTAAAGTTGGTCCTTGCCCAACCTTTATGTGAAGTTGTCACCGGAACCAAAACTGGACCCTCCCACTCCCCAATACCTTAGCTATAATCACCTAACTAGATAGGCTGCTGAAAATGTGTCTTTAACCTACCTACAGCTAGATCTTGGAAGGCCTGATCCGTGTACAGGTCACTGGATAAGGTGGTCAAAGCCTGCCATGGTTGCTGGGTAAAACATTCTAAATCTCCTTGTTAGTAGGAGAGGCTCAGTAACTGACAACGGATGAAAAATGCCTGTTAATTTCGAACTTCCAACATCAAGCCTAATAATGCTAATAATGACTGTCCTCCACTATGCAACAGCCATGCACATGTTTGCACATTTAATATTCTTGTGATTTTTGCCCATTTTACAGATGAGGATAACTGGGACTCATAACTTGTTCTGTCGCCCATGTTCTGTGTCATACAGTGCTAGAAAGTGACAAAATAAGGATTGAAACAGTCTCAAAAGCTTGGCCATCCACTGCTGCACATCTCTCAACATCTCTTAGAAAAGATTAAGAAACAGGAAAGTATCCCTGGTGGTCTAGTGGTTAGGATTTGGCATTTCACTGCTATGGCCAGGGTTTTGTCTTTGGTCAGGGAACTGTAATCCCTCTAGTTGCTTCATGTGGCCAAAATTATTTTTAAAAAAGAAAGAAACAGGAAAATATGACGTGTTTTTTTTTTCATCAGTGAATTTCCCAAGTGAATTTCATCATGACCAAAGATTTGTTCTTAAGCTGTCATTTGAAAATACTACTTCAGATAAAACCACACATTCTTGAGGGCTAGGACTATATCTAGATGAATTGAATTCCCAAAGCCTAAGACAGATCCTAGAGGTTAGTAGGTGCTCCATACAGTTTTGATGAATTCCTCATTTTACCTCATTTATAGCCATATGGCATTAAAATACTGAAACAAAAGTGGACTGCTATAGCCTGGGTTTTGTCTTTGGTCAGGGAACTGTAATCCCTCTAGTTGCCTCATGTGGCCAAAATTATTTAAAAAAAAGAAACAGGAAAATATGCATTTTTTTTCCCTCAGTGAATTTCCCAAGTGAATTTCATCATGACCAAAGATGTGTTCTTAAGCTGTCATTTGAAAATACTGCTTCAGATAAAACCACACATTCTTGAGGGCTAGGACTATATCTAGATGAATTGAATTCCCAAATCCTAAGACAGATCCTGGAGGTTAGTAGGTGTTCCATACAGTTTTGATGAAATCTTCATTTTACCTTATTTATAGCCACATGGCATTAAAATACTAAAACAAAAGTGGTTTTAAATGCTTTGTTTTAGGTAAGCATGTCTCTATCATAGTTGGACGCTTTCTGAGGATGTAGCTCACTTCTTGGGGAGTATTTGGAAGGTGAGAGCCTCTAGGAAATAAAGTCTGTTAACTCATACCTCAGTGATGTGGCCTGAAATTTCAAGTCATTAGTTATAGGCCTAACTCACTGTATGGTACCTCCTGACTTAAAATGAGGGAGAAGCCACAAAACACGTGACCTGAGGGAACCAGAATCCCAGTCTGCCACCTACATCAGCAACACAGGATCTTTCTAGCCATAGAAAAGGCCCTGAACTTATGTGGAGACTATGTTCAGGAAATTGACCTGGTATTAACACACATAGTAATGCCATCTAATCAGAATCTATGAAATGAAAGTTATTCGCTCAGTCGTGCCCAACTCTGCAACCCCATGGACTGTAGTATGCCAGGCTCCTCTGTCCATGGAATCCTCCAGGCAAGAGTACTGGAGTAGGTAGTCATTTCCTTCTCCAGGGCATCCTCTCAACCCAGGGACTGAATCCATGTCTCCTGCATCACAGGCAGATTCTTCACTTTGAGCCACTAGGGAAGCCCATCAGAAAGCTAAGGTAGCTGTAAAATGCCTTCAACAGCTGATATCCTTCTTGTTAGAAGAATCTTACAAGTGATGGAAAGCGTGGAAAACGTGTGTGTGTGCTCAATTGCTCGGTGTGTTCAATTCTGCCACCACATGGACTCGAGCCAACCAGGCTCCGCTGTCCATGGGATTATCCTGGCACGTATACTGGAGTGGGTTGCCATTTCCTTCTCCAGGAAAGTGATTGAATAGAGGAGACTTAACTCCATCAAATTATACTGCAGAAACAATTTATATAGGAAGATAACTTTTGATAAAATAAATTTTTTTTAATTTTAAAATCAAAACTTGATTTTCAAAAAATCAGAAGTTGCATGTGACCAGTAGGGGCAGGGAGAGGAAGTCAACAATAACAATTGGCTTTCTGGTTTGAGCAACTGAATGGGTATTGTTGCCTATTTCTCTCTCTTTTTTTGGCCACACCACACAGCACGGCATGTGGGATCTTAGTTCCTTGACCAGGGATCAAGTCCACATCCTCTCATCTCTGCATTGGAAGTGTGATGTCTTAACCACTGTACTCCCTGGGAAGTTCCTGTTGCCTGTTTCTAATGTCACTGTTGAATCCAGTTGAGAGGGGACAGAAGAAGAACCACAATTAAGTAGAAGATCACAATAAAAGCTGGTACTTCTTTAGCTTTCCTTATGTGTTAGAAGACTGATTTAAATTCTCACAATGGTCCTATGTGATTATCCTTATCATCTTCATTTTCCAGATGAGGAAACTGAAGCCAAGAGAAGCTAAGTAACTTGTGCCTGAGGTCACACAGCTGGTGAGTGTTGGATTTGGAATTTGAATGTGAGTCTGCTCTCACATGGGCTGTGCCTTCCTGTGATCTAATACTTCTAAATGATGAGCTCAGTTTAGATACATTGACCTTGAGAGATTTTGGAGGCAGCCACATGGAGGTGTCCAAGGACCAGGAAGAGACACGGGTGTGAAGTTGAAGTGAGAGATTTGGACTGGAAAGAGATTGTAAAGCCAGCATGCAGGTGGCTGATGAAGCCATAGGGAGGGCAAGCCGCCCCCCGCCCCGAGAGGTGGGAACTATCAGGAGGAAAGAAACTATAGTGGGGCAGGGGGTTACTCCCTTGGAATTCCAGTGCTAAGACTTCGTGGTAGTGGTGGTTTAAACACTAAGTCTTGTTTGACTCTTGTGACCCCATGGGCTGCAGCCCACCAGGCTCCGCTGTCCATGGGATTCTCCAGGCAGGAACACTGGAGTGGGTTGCCATTCATAGCCAATTTTTTTTTTTTTAAAGGTGGGGGGAACCCTGGGAGGCAAGCGATAAGCGTTCCAGTTGTGGGGAAGGTATCTTTCTTTTGTACGTGAATAAACTGGCATCAGATCTCTAGGTCACCAGCCAATATTCATTGAGTCCACATCCTTGAATTTGTTCAGCTCTGGGGCCCCTGACATGGCAGAGTTCTTGGACCCACAGCCCTAAGGACGTGTCCTGAGTGGTGGTGACCCTCCCCGCTCTTTCCTCCCTGGGATCCCACTCTGGCCTCTTGGCTTCCTGGACATCCTTTTTATTTTTTTGCCCCCCCCCACCACAGCAACTGAAGGGCCTCTGGCTCCTCTGTCTCCCCCCTGTCAGCTTTGTCAGCCCCGGGCCCCTCTCCGTCTCCAGGCTCCAAAATGAGGTGCCTGGAGTCCCAGGTGACATTTCTCAACTCCACGCACCACCTCAAGCTAGTTTTTTTTTAGCCTTTTATTCATACATTTCTTGTGTCTCTAACTAGATTCTAAGCTTCCAGGGAGCAAGAAGCATATTTCCTCCTCCAGCTTTCCCCCATCCCCCCACCCCAGGCTCTCTTGCCCCTGGGGGTACGTAGCTTAAATGTCCCTACACCCGGTGTTCCCCTGGCCCTCACGCTTGCCCATCGTCTGTGGGATTGCATCATGTGGCCGGGGTACCTGGCACAGAGCATGCTACAGAATCTACTGAGTGAGTGGAGAGCCTGCCAATTGATCAATCCATCATCTTGCTCAGTAAATAATTATTTGCCCGCTGGGTTTGAGACCCGTAACTGGGGCTGTTGGCTCCTTTGATAAGTTAATATTAGTCCGCAGGGCCCTTCACAACAGTCCCTTGTTTGGGGAGGAATAGGCAAGAGGTGGGGAAGCAAAGATTAACTGCGCTTTCCTGTCATTCTATTCATAGCCCCCAAAGCTGTTGTGGTCCATTAGTTGATAGTTGCCTTCCTCAGATGTTGGGTGAGGGAATGGGAAGGGAAAGGGGACTTCCAGTTGCCTTGCTAAGTGACCTCACTGTATCCCTCTGCTGACAAAAAAATGCACAACAGGAGAGTTGTGAGTTAAGTTTTATTTGAAGCAAAATGAGGACTACAGCCCAAGAGACACTATTTCAGACAGCTCTGGGAAATGGCTCAGAGAGGCAGGGGGAAGGTCGGTATATATGTGATTTTGGTGTACAT